AAGCCTTTTAATAGAGGAATGAGATCAATGCCCGTTCTTCGCAAGGAGCTGTCGTGACTGGTACAGAAGGAGCATACATCCCTGAAGGCTCCCAACCCTCTCTAAGGTGGCTGTCGTGTACTCCAAGGTTTTTCCTAGAATTCTTCGCATTTGTCACGAAGATAATACGGCGCAGATTTTAGTTGCTTGGACCGTAATCAATCAGTGGGTGCCTAGTGCGGTTCGAAGACTCAGGTAGGGCAACGAGGATACATGGAACACATGCTAGGTTCCACATGTGCGATTTCTTCCTTGCTATCTAATTATGGGCTCTAGGATGGAAAGGCCCCCTGCTCGCCACCCAAGCTGAAGCTGCCCAGGAGCGAACATGCTGCCTTCAAGGCAGGTTGAGGGCCGAAACTGGCGTTTAGGGCTTCTCAAAACTATGCAATCCACTTGTAAGTATATTGATCAGCATGTGGGATGCTTAAAAGGGTACCGTTTTCAGCTTTATGTTGTGAAAACTGCCTGATGACTGCAAAGCAGATCTTCCATGTTTTGTGCCTGAAGCCTGAGTGATGGCGTACTGGGAGAGGACAGGGTGATTTCACCGACTCACTACGGGTACAAAGATAAACGGAAAGCTTGGGAGCTTTGCTGAGGGTCTGAGGATTATCCTACTTGCTCTGCAACAAACCTTTGACTCTGCGTTGTTTGACTGTGCTTTTGAGACGAGAGAGACTGTTATTCCTGCCTGCTTTTTTTAGCAGATCACCGGATGTGGAGCGCTTTGCACTTCAATGCTCTTTTTGAGACGCGTCAAGGAATACACGCACCCACATGGCCAGGGTGCCATTTGTGAAATGATTGCTTAACGAGGTGTCAGAGTTCAGAGCTTCAGGTCCCGTTTTGCTACGGTTTTCGTGGAAATACTCCTTTGAGGTAGAAGCCCTAACTCCTACTAGCCATAGTTCTAGTGGCTCAGAAACTGTGGCTCAGGCATGTCAGCAACTGCCTGAGAGGATGGTGGTGGGAAATATTTTGCAAACTCCCGTTTAGGGTTTAGGGTTTAGGGTTTAGGGTCAGGAAACACCCCATATTCCTTTCGTTAGGGTCCCGCAGGGCAATCCCCTATGCTGAGAAACACCGATGTGGACAAGGCCACCGGGCGTTGATGAGCGTGCCGAGCAGGGAAGAGTGCGCCTGGACTAAACCCCAAATTAGGAGTTTCTCAGTATAATCGGTGTAGAACTCAAACCCTAAATTCTAGCTTCCCCATTATCCCCGTGGGACAATTGGCAGCTTCTAGTAATGCAACCTATACAATCCGCGAAGGATCGCATAGTGCAATCGCGGCGGGCCCCTTGGTGACCTCAGATTGGTATGTAGAGTTTGTATGGGATTACGCAGGGGTTTCCTGGATAAAGCTGAATGGTATCCGATGTCGACATCTATCTTGCTTGCCCTGAAGATCTAAAGTGCACCGGTCAAGCAGAGACGCTCCACATGTCGAGCCTTTGCTTCCAGCTCCGTTTAGCAAAAATGTCAAGCAGCATTCTCTGAAATACCGTTGGAACTTGTCCCGAGTCCTTGAACGCACTGCACACCTCTTCATGGCTGTGTGATACACGCACTGTAGACAAATTGATATCCACCAACCTGAGTTTTACAGGACATGGGTTGTGCTCAAAATGATGGGCCACGTTTGGGTATAGATACTCTCATGGCACCTAAGATTTAGGGGTACCTAAATAGGACCCTGATTTTGGGAACTACCCACATACTTCCACACGTGGTGCCTCTGGCTCCTAGACCTGCTGCAAATGCTAAGGCCCAAAATCAGAACCTGCGAGCCACTCCTGGAAAGATAGATCTCAACCTGTACATTCAAAAACGGAGCTACACTACGACATCCTATACCTTCCCTAGGGCTCCAAATGGCCCAACGCAGGTACTATTTAAAGACATTGGGGCACTATGTAGGTATTATGTATAGACGTGGAGCCCCAGTTTCCATTTCATTTTCCATTTTCTTTTCCATTTGATTCTCCATTATAGGGGGATAATATACCCTAAACCCCTAGGGAAAGGTCCCAAGCTGCTTTCATGTCAAGGCCCATCTCTTCTACAGCTCAAGCCCTACTGTAACCGTCAGCCTACAGAAATTCCGAAGACTTGCAAGGCGAACGATTTTGCTGCGAGCACCAGGAATGTTGGGGATGCGTTCAGAACCACAGCAGCATCTTGGATGAAAAGTCATCTCCCCTGAATAATCCAACCTTTCAACCCTCCTGATAATGGATCTTAGTGCCAGCATGTGATGCGAGAACGAGGGGTCCCCAAAGGGTCGCCTAGAACCAGTCCCAACAGCACGGCCTACATTCAGGTACCACCCTGGCCGCTATAAGCCCCCAACTTTACACTTCACCTTACTGGTTCTTAGTAGGGAATAATGGAATACATTCTATAGGGATTCTACAGGGATTGTATTCCCATATTTCCTGCTACAAACCAGTAGGTATCTGAGGGCCCAAAATCCCCCCTCCCACCCACAATCCAGGTTGGACTGCGCTACCCTCGTGCTTCTCCTTGCGACAACGTACCTGCTCCAGCTCTCACAAGTTTCCGGGCTCTTCACATATGAGCCATGATCGAAACTCCTGAAGGGGGTTATATAAGGGTTATATCGGGGACGACTATAGGGGGTATCAAGCTGGATACTATAAGAGGTTAGACTATGGCTCAGATCGCATTGCTCAGCTTGCAGTGTTTTGGATTTCAGGATTCTAGGGCTTGAGTTCGCAGAGCCGCTGCTCGAGGTTCGATTCTGTTTGAAGGCCCCTTGGGATCCATCCTTGCACAGCAACGGGACGACATGGGATATGCCAATATGCACTGCTAGGAGTTGAAGGAGCTGAGAACCAACCCCGCTCCAGATACCATTTTGGGCAGCCAGCAAAGATTCGAGAGAGGCTGCGGATCAGCTGAACCCTCAACTCGATTGGATGCAGCATTTCGCAAAAGTTAAAATGTGATCTTGCGATGGAAAGCCCAGCCGCCTTCGGGCGCAGATGCGAATTCAGCCTTAGCCTGAAACGTAGACGACAAGCTCACTGGTTCTGAGCCTCAGGCAATCCAGCCCTAGCTCTTTTTCACTCCTGGGAGCCCATGTGATCCTGAAAAACACAGGGGAAGAAGATAGATGGGCTTTGAGTTGTGTGGAGAAATCCAGGGGAAGAAGATAAAATAGGTTGGCCATATCACTTGCGTACATATTAAGGCTTTGCATAGGGCCTGTTAGTATTACTGAGGGAGGCTGATCCCAGCATATACAGCAGCTCTAAGCTTTAAAGCTATACTTCCCAGGTTTCTAGAAGAGACAGAGTGTCTCATTCTGCATATGAGGAGTTTGATTGTAGCTTGTCCTTGGACAAGGCTTCCCTTGCGTCCATGGGGCTACTGGCTGGAGTTCGGAATCTGGGCCTGATTGAGTGCTGCCTATAGAGGAAAGGGGCCTATGGGGTCTAAGGGCCAAGAGACCTTGTGGTTAGTTCATGTGAAGAAGCTGCTATGACTTCAGACAGCATTTGAGAGACTTCGGCAGCCCCAAAGGGTTTCCTGCAAAAGTTTTCAGAGCATCCAAACGCAAGCCGGCATGTTATGAACCAGGGCAGGACGAACCACAATGATTCATGGTGAAATCACGTAATGAACATTTTGCAACCTTTGGGCCGCGGTTCTTACTGTGGGCTAGAAGGGATAAAGGAGTGTATGTATATACATAGATGTATATCTATCTATATATATATATCTATACATATACATATACATATAAAAACCCCCTTAAGGGGTATATGTAGGGTTTAGTGCTTAGGGTTTAGGGTATAGTCCCCCTTAAATAGATAGAATACGGGGAGTATGGGGATCTTATTAGAATATATCCAATGCCATATTCTATCTACTTAAAAGGGGAACTATATGTATATATATATAAAAATCTGTATATCTAAATGGAACAAGTAATTATGGGCTGTATATAGGGATTGTATGCCCTTATCCCTTGCAAACCCTAAGCCTCAAATCCTAAATCTTGTGCCCTGAAACCTATATTCTATTCACTTGTTCCTTACTCCCCCCCCCACCCAGAGTAGTTTGTGCAAGTTTGAGACCTCTCCCTCTCTCCCTCTGTCAGATGCAGCTCTTTTCCAGCACGCTATTGTCAAAAACACGAAAGCCTTGAGCCCAAAGCTAGTTGTGTCCGTGTTTCCAGGATGTTTAGCGTTTAAGGTTTAGGGTAGATTCCGCATGGAAAGTTGGCCATTTCAACTGTCACTCTACGAGAAACCCAATGCATGTACATAAAGTACTTTTACCAACAAAACTTGTCGACGGAGACTTTTGTGTTTGAATGGGCAGTCTCCTCGTATGGTCAGACACTGCTTCAGGCGTGTTCTTTGGCGCCACATTGCGAAGCACTGCAATCCACCTCATGCGTACAGGCTTTCGGGAAGGGCAATGAGGAAGTAAAGCATTGATTTCCAATTCAGTTTAGCTGCGAGCTATGGCTAAGCAATGTCTGAACTAGCTGTTGGGGGGTACGACTTGGGGGGGCCCCCCCATGTCGACATCCAGCAGATAAGGTAGCTGTTTCTGGCAGATTGCCGTAGCAGGCCTTCACAACACGGCTGGGGATTGGTGCCCTCAGATTTCCTTGGATACTATACGTCTTGCATGCTGATTCTGGATTGCTACTCTGTAGGGAGCGTTTTTCTTTTAGCCCTGGCGTGCTTGGGGGCCAGGTTTTGGAAGTTTGGAGTTTGGCTTCCATGGATAGTCTTTGGGATTGTCCATGTGCCTGGAATGATTATGGCTCTGGATTTGACTTTTGCATGGGATGTTTTTTTTGTTTATCCCGATGTTGGTTATGAGAATTAAGCAAGACCACCACACCTTTGCGGATCTACACGTTCTATCGCTGGAAAGCATGCCAACAAAGTGGGCAACATTGCCTGATTCCGCAGGCTTTGGGCATCACCCCGTCTATGGTTTCGATTCCTTTCGCGGAATTGATGAGGACTGGGGAACGTCACGCGGCTCAGATTTGTTCATGGTTCTCAGGTTGCTGGGTGCAGGCGGCTTCTTGAGCGATTCCCTAGCTATTTCTCCCTCGTGCCATTGTCCATGTCAGCCAAGGGAGCCTTCAGCAGAGTTTTGTGTCTGCCTTGCTACTGTTCAGAGTTATCCAACTTAGAATCAAAAAGATACAGCAATCCGCACTGTGTGTTGGGGGATTACTTCTAAAGTCTTGCAGACATTAGTCCATCAACGGTAGAATTCCCCCGCTGAATGTTCTTGGTGGTAGGGGCGTCACTGTCAGCTCTTTCCTTAGCAGTTCATAGGAGGCCATTCCAGCTAGCAACTGACGGCATCTTTACGGTGCAAGAAGGAGTTCCTCTCAAGCAATGGTTCGGCTGGAAGAGTGCAAAGGAGGGAATCTGCAATTTCACACGCCCCCGAAGTGGTGAGATCCGCCGAAAGAGGCAAGAACGCAATCTGCACTGAGACGCCATTGAGCCCTGCACTTTCACTTTACCGCTTTTCTGCAAGAATGGTTCGCACTAGAGTTCCCCCATCAGCACGTTGTGTGTTCTCAAGTCTGGGGTTTGGGATACAGCCAAGCAGCCTCGGCCCCAAAGCTCTGGCGAGGTTTGACCGCTTTGAGTTCAGCACTGAAGGCCGGGTGCCACGAAACCTGCCACCTAATGCGAAGCTGGTTGCTGGGTTATGGTCGAACATTTTGTTTTACATGGATTTGATGTCACAACCCAGTATGCACAAGCGCGGCAAGATGTCATGTGACTGTTAGCCTAGGTTGTTGGATGGTACAACGACACCCTGCCGGCCTTTATCCAGACCCACCTGAATGGCAATGCGAAAGAAGCTTGGCAGAAATGCATCCCGCTCCATAGCCCCTAATCCTAATCCCAACCACAAACCCATGCTTAGTGCCCTGAGCGGTCCACCTCTAAAACTTGACCTCTGGTACGTAATAAAACTCAAGAGCGACAGTAACCTTAGGAGACACTTGTTATGATTAGTTATGGAAGTAGCATGTCTCAAGCAATCGGCGAATAGCGGCGCCCCATCCTGAACCCTGAACCCTTAAGTTCCTAGACCCTGAATCCTTAAAATCTTACCCAGGCCTGCTTAGGCCGTACCGACCCGTTAGGATGCCCACACCATGGCTTAAAGCTACTATGCAGGCCTCAAGAGTTGTGTGGAGTCTGAGCTACACCTCCCAATGCCGAGTTTCCCAAAGCCGCAAAGGGTTTCCACGCCCTCATGCATTTCATAAGCTGGAGCCGCTCGCATCGAATATTGCAGTAGAGCAGGTGCTCAGACTATGAAAATGGATACTGTTGATGAGGAGCGGCAATGCAGGGCAGCCGCAAGAAACCGGAGAAGGAGCAAACTTGGGCGGATGCGTGCTGGGGGGGAGAATAACAAAACACACCGGCTCTGGTCGTTGGGTTCTGATCTGCGATAGCCGGTCGACACATCCCGCCCCGCGCGCTCCTGTGTGTGTTTGGGTGTTAGATCACCACCAGCCATTGCACAACAGGACGCCCTAAACCCTAAGCGTCCATAAGCCATATGGTAGTTTCCCAAAATAAGGGACCCCTATATAGACCCCAATGTACTATAGTCCTTATTATCGGGACCCCCAACAAGGTACCCCTAATTTGGGAAATCCCCATATAACCTAGAAATCCTAAACCCAAAACAGGGTACAGTACCCTAAACCCTCAACCCTAAACCCAAAATAGGGTACAGTAAGAGCCTAGGTCCAGTGGCTCCACCTCGACTGTGATACCTATGGTGGCCATCGTCTGGTGCTCAAACTGCTCGAGCCTTTCCTGGTGCCAGGGTCGCTGTGTCCGAGGTGCAAGTCTAGCATAGTTTTTTGTTTCAACTGTTCCTGCCCGGACCTCAAAAGTGTAAGTAAAGCAATGGCCCAAAAACTTTTTGGGAACGGCGAAAAAGGCTATTATTGCACATGCTTAGGGGGTCCATGTGTCTCTCAGGTCCAGTTTGGTAATCTGGGAGCTTCTCCAAATACTCTCCATAGGATGCATACCTGTATTTGGGCTTCTGACCATTCATTGGCGCCAGGATGCCAAAGGGAACGGTTCCGAAGCATAGTAGCTTCCATTTTCTTTTCATTATCCCTATATCAGGAAGAGTAGTAGTAATAGTAATTATAGTAATAACAACAATGCTTTTGGAGGAGGTTCTGGTCATGGGCATGGATGCCATGGACCTTGGAGGGGCTCTAAACGGATAAAGCGGTTTTTTCACTTGTGGCGACAAGAAAGCGTGGTCACAGTCTTTAGGGGCTCAACTCTTCTCATGAGATTGATGTGATACTATGTACTCAGTGGTAGGGGACAATAACAATGGATTAGAAACGGTATGCCCCAAACCCTAAACCCTATATAACCCTCGCCCTTAAAGGAGTCCAGACCCTAAACCCTAAACCCTATATAACCGCCTTTTAAGGAGTTTAGCCTCAAAAGAACCTTTGAAATGGCAACCCGCACTTGGAAACTTTCACACCTAACGTCCACGCAAGCTTGCCCCGCGGCATGGTTCTTTCTAAACGCAGGTGCCCCTGCGACCTCAACATTTTTTTTTTATGTTAATGCCCTATACACCCTAACTAAACCCTCCACTCTTCTGGCACCTGGTCTTCCTGATCTTCCATTTCATTTGGCTACCAAGGCTGATCTTCGACGACATCCTGAACTATGCCGGCTACGAGGGCTACGCGCTGCAGGCTTTCTACGAATTCGTTCAGGCTGGATGTCAGGTGTGAATGTAGAAAGCATAGGGCCCCTAAACCCCTAAGCCTATAGACCGCCTCCAGTAGATAGAATATGGCTTTGGGTATATTAGAATAAGATCCCCATATGCCCCATATTCTATCTACTTAAGGGGGACTATAATCCCAATATATACCCTATTATAATATCGGAGTTTCCATTTTCTTTTCCGTTATCCTTATATAACCCCAATAATATACCGTATATCCTATCTACTTAAGGGGGACTATAAGCCCCAAACCCTACATTGCAAGGGTTCGGGCTCCCAACCCACGGAGCACTCCGCAAGCCCAACACATGAGAACTCGGTATGAGCCCGCGTGAGCTATGAACTAAATTTAGGTTGGGGGAGGGCTTGTGGCGGAAATATATAGGGTTTTCGGGGGGACCTATTAAGGGATATAATATACTACAAATCTAGTCCAGGGCTCACGTGGCTTGATCTTCAAGTTGTAAATCCTCGATCCAAAGCCTGAAACGCTAAAGATCAAATCCAGAAACCCTCATCCCTCAGACCCTGAAACCCCAAACCTTGAATACCCTAAACAACAACCCTAAACCCCAAACCCTAAACCCTGAACCCTCAGGAGACGGGCTGGAGCTTCGAAGTCCTGGTGGCACCTTGGCGGGTGGAGTGGACAATCTCAGAGAAGTCGGAGAGCCTCGGCCAAAGCTTTGGCGGACTGGACCTAGGGCCTTCCAAAAATTAGGGGTACCTCTTAGAGGGGGGCCAAAAGGGTTTTGTACGAGAATATCGTGGCATATAGGGACGTATCGTGATGTATAGGGTTAAGGGATTAGTAATTAGGGTTTGCAGTTTAGGGGTTTGCCCATTAGGCGTACCTTGTTGGGGGTCCCCATAATAAGGACTATAGTATATTGAGGTCTTACACAGGGGAATCTACCACCTTTTGTGTGCCTGATGAGAGTTTGCGAAACGGAGGGTCATCATGTTTATCTGTGATGCTTTAAGTGCATTCAGGTGGCTCATTCGCTGCTCCTGACATTTCGAAAGCAGCTAGCGGCTAACATGTCAGATGTTTCCTCCTTAAGGGCCTCGCCACCTTGGCCTCGTTCGCAGGCCTTCCTTCACCCTGAACCCCCTAAACTTTGAACAGTGCATGATGTAATGGCTTGGGGTTAGGTTGAAGGTGTACGGATTTAAGGCCATCACCGACCATCTCAGCCCCAAAGAAGACAGGGCAATGAGCTGCACAGGTCCCAACGCACTGCACTTCCCTGGTGGCTAACGCGCATGCGCATCTTAGATGAAGCCTTAGACTGCTTGCTGATTGCAATGGGAGTTGGTCAACATTACCCCCATTCAATCCCTAGTCAGGGTCTTCTCTTTCAATTTCTACATATGCATAGGGTCCCCAACGGCCTCCTATCTAGAGAAACCCAATTTTACGGAAAGAAGGAACGTAAAATCAAGATTTTTGCAAAAGAAAAAGTAATGTAGTCATATTGGGATTATGTACTCTCAAAAGTAGCAAATGGCAGTTCACCTTCCTGCGGGATTTTCAGTCCTTCCGGACGAAGTCGGGCGTCAAAACTCGAGCGAGTTGTGAGTTTGGGAGAATTGGGGTTTGGGGGTTTAGGGTTTAAGGTTTGGGGTTTGGGTTTAGGGTTTAGAACTGCTTGTTGGTAATACCACAATTAGCTCCATGGCATTCATCGAGCAAATTACTGTACAGAGGGTTTGTAGTGGATGTAACGATAAACTCGTACAGGGCGCGCTGTAATCGACATAAAAGAGCTTGGACCGCCCATTATTATTCAACATCATACAGTGTGAGCAAAGCCTCAGTAGCAAGGATGCCAGATATCCATTTAGAGCATTTACGTGTGCCCACGCGTGCTTCACGGTCTGTTAAGACTGTTGAACGCCTATCAGCGGGATGTGTGAGAGTTGTTTTTTTGGTGGGGCCCTTCCAATTGCGGTGGCGCACACAAAGTTTGATTCGCATGTCTAGACTCAGTACTCAGCCCACTGGCACTTTGACTGGGGATCGCCTTACTCGTTCAGACTCAATGTCAGACAGAAGGCACGTGGCAAGAACGACAACAAACATGGAGCTTCAGAATCAGGCTTAGAATGCGTTGAATAAAGAGTTTCGTAGAAGCTCTTAGATTGAGTGTGGCATGATTCTGTCTTTCGGGGTTTTAGGGTGTGCTACGTTTTTAGAGCTCAGGGCCTACCCCCTCAAGACCTATTTTTTGGCTACGTTGCAACCTGTGCTGCGCTCCCTTTTGCCGAGTCGGATGTCTACAAACTCGAACTTTGACATGTAGCCTGCAATTTTCAACCACACACACACCAAACTCAAACTCAGCCGAGCTTGACCAAGCTTTGCCGTCGTCAAATGTGCCACGGCTGGTTTGATGAGCTCTTCTTTGCTGCTTCTGGTTGTTGCCGTTCTGCTTGATCTTAGTACTCATGCTATTGTCGCTAACACCGGTTTATGGCGCTACCTAGACCCTCCAATGTAGTACCTTTTTGGTAGTCCAAATAAGAATCCTAACCAAAAAACCATACCAAACCCAAAAAGGAACTACATTGGAGGGTCTAGGTAACAAGGTCCTAATAGGGAATTTTAGGGTCTAATAGCCCATAGTGGTGGTTTATGGCGCTAAAGCCCTGAGCCTTAAGGAGCCATCGCCGTTCGACTGGTGTCCAAGCGGAACAGCTGGCGGCTGGAGAGAAAAGGGAGCAGTGTGCGTACGCAAGACCACCAACCAGTTGGGGATGTCTCCATAAAAGCCCTACCTCCTCTGCAAAAGGGGCTTGCAGAATCCATTCGCAGTCCATGTGTACCTGGAGAGATCCGTGGCCACCAATGAGGGTATCCAGATTACATGAACCGACATCCATTACCATCCGTAGACAAGCGAAGACAAACTTCCGGGGCTTCCATCCTGGGAGCTAGGATGCTCAGCTAATTGTCTTATTTGGTTTGCCAAACCTTTTATCAACTGTGACTGATGCTGGACTTGCCTGCTACCAGGTTTAGGGGGGCTCTCCGGCATCAAGAGAAGTATGACGGTCAGAAACAACGGCGGACTAAACACACCCTGGGCAACTGCAGTCCTTCGCGGCTAACCCAGTACCAGATCTGAAAACAGCTAGCCCATCTTGTTGTGCTGAATCTTGCGTGGAGCTCGACCCAGTGGCATGAAGAGCCCGGTCTGCGTAGAGCCAAACTTACTGTTGTAACCGAGATCTAGTAGTTTGCCAAAATAGTGGGACCCCAAAATACTATAGTCCTTAATATTGGGACCCCTAAAATGGTACCTCTAATTTTGAGAACTCCCATCTGAATTTCCCGGTAAGTAGCTTAACATTTGTTCGTGTTTGATCCTATTTGCTTTTCAGTTTACATCGCCAAAGGGCTTCATGATCCTGAGGTGGCATGCCCCGAGGCAATGATCCCAGCTGCAGCTTAGCGAAATGAAGGTTGTCCACTTCAGATTTTGGGTTGTGAGTTTTTGGTTTTTTACCTGCTTGCAGGTACTTATGGCAAGCAGAGTCCCAGCTTGAAAGCCAGTGTCAGGGCTCCGAGACAGGAATTATTATAATGAGGTTATATTGGGATAATGGAAAATGAAATGGAAACTACTATTTAGGGTTTAGTACTGGCATCGAGTGGCTTGTACAAAACTTGTCCTACTGTAGCAAGTTCTGAGACTTTGCCGCTGCGTAGATTGAGTTCCAATGCATGACTGAGTACTCCGACCTCAGTCCATGACTACTTGTGGGTCACCCACCAAGCGCCACCGAGCTTGGCGGCATATGCCGCATTTCCTATTTGAAGCCATCCTGAACCTGGGCTTGGGATGTGACAAAGTATCCGGAGAGCCCATTTTAATATTCATGTTAAACCTAAACGATACTAGGACCGCTCATAGGTGTCAAGGGAGGAAGTTCACTCTGGCACTGCACTGCCCCCACCTAGCAACAGCCTGAAATAATGATAAGATTAGGGTTGTATATAGAAATTTAGATTACCTATAATCTAACTGTTACTGCGTGTGGGCAGTACCCAACCCAAACCACTTCAGTGCCTCTTCCCTGCCACTTTCCCAACTCTTCCGCCGGCAAAGCCCTGAAGCTCAATTCAAAAGTCTCCCAATTGACCTGCATGCTACCGTGATCTCATCTCATCACATAGTGTTGTGATTTTTTGGAGCTGGTGTATGCATATTTGGTCGCATATACAAGGTAGGTTTGAAGCTAGTTTGTACTTTCTATTACTCTTAATATATTCCTTATAAAACCATAAGAAGTTTGTTTGTTTAATACAATCCCTACAATCCCTGCAGTTTCCAGTATATTTTCCATTATCCCAATATAACCCCTATATGTCCCCTATAATTAAAATCCCTATATAACCCCATATGTCCCCAATAATCCCTACATAACCCCTATATATCCCCTTTAATCCCGGTGAGAGCCCTCAGAAAGCCGGCATAGGCCATGGACCCTTTGACTGCCACGGCCGCGGCTGCAAAGCTACAGGCAGACTTTGGCTGCTTGAAGCTTCTACTCACAGGTTCCTGGGTAACTAGAGATTTAGGGAGGGTTTCCAAGAACTGGTGGCAACAATGTAGACCCCAAAATGGTATAACTCTTCTTCTGGGTACCCCCCCGACCCATGCATAATTCATGAAAACTCCAATGTATGACTCTGCATACACTGCCAAGTTGAGGCTGATCCTCGTCTGTTACGAAATACTGGGTATCTTTCGGGCCAGGATCTATCAACCTAAGGGGTGGAGCCGGAGCTGCTACGGTGAATGGACGAAATCTTGCACCACCCCATGTGAGCTACTGTCTAAACTCCTAGTATCCCCCTTAATAACCCCTATAGTAGTCCCCTATATTATACCCTATATAACCCCCTTTAAGGAGTTTAGACTATAGTTCATGTGCCTTAAACCCCAGGCGATAGGGTTTTCTTTTGGGCGAAGGGGATGAATATGCATCGGGGGGCCACAGTAATCAAGTTCCCGAGCCGTTCATTTGGGAGGCACCCGATGCCACGATGAGTGCGAGGGAAGGCACTCCGGGCTTGGTATGCAACTGGTTTGGGTTGATATGGTTTCTGCAATATGGTAACTTAAATTAACTGCCTTAACAGCAACCCAGGATTTGAGTGGGATCTCAGGATTCGGATCTATTTTTGTGAGTGTTCGGAGGGATCCAGAAAGTGAGAAAAGTACTCAGATCGTACTCGTGCTTGTCTGTTTTGTTTGGCGTAGTGTTGAGGCCTGAACCTCAGAGGTATGTAATCGCTTCCTCATATTAATCACCCCCCCCCTTATAATAAACAATAAATCCGGGATCCTAAAAATTCTTCATGAGCATTTGAAAAGGGGCTGT